ATTCAGTGACTGGGATAATTGGGATGGGAGTGTCAGAGACAGTGCGATTGGCACAGGACAGAGCAGAGTTTAGGGCTGTTGTACATAGTCGCAAGCGACTCGACAGCAAATAACAACAACAAAAACCGACATTCAGGGAAACTAAACTTACTTATCAGCCTAGTAAGACAGAATTCCTTAAGGTGACATATTGCCATAGATAGTTATATAGGTATTAGACATAAATGTATATTTCCTTATATTGACTACACCTTTAAAGCAAACATATATGATACCATTTGCAGAAACAATCTGAAAAAATTTGTATGAATCCGTATTCAGTTGAGGCTGGATCATTTGTAACTTCATCCATTTAAAATATTCAATTCCAATTTCTAGTCTTGTAACTGGTATGTTGTTGTTGTTGTTGTTGTTCTATCAAGTCAGAACCCACTCACAGCTGACCCTCCCTCCAGTGGGTTTTCAGAGGTTGTAAATCACATGCGAGGAGATTGTCTGTCTCTCTTCTACAGAGCAGCTGATAGAGTCAAAGCACACGCCTTTGGGTTGGCAGTGCAGCATCTTACCCAGGAGACCACCAGAGCTCCCTGGCATTAATTTATAGTGACTGATTAAGTTTTCCAAGGGATAACATTTTTATTGGAAATAATGAGTGGGATGACAGCCATTTACAGACACAATCATACTTTACAAAGTCCTATGAGGCAAGAATTTATTTTTCTCTGCCTACTGACTTGTCCTCTTACTCACATGAAACAGACTAAAACTCCAATAGAAAAAAAACACAAAATGATATGACCCAGCCTTTCCACTACTAGGAATATATCCCAAGGAAATTAGAACTGAGACACACACAGACATTTGTACACCAATGTTCATAGCAGTGTTATTTACCATCACAAGAATATGGAAACAGCCCAAAAGTCCAACCACAACCAAATGGATTGAGAAGTTGTGGTACATTCATACAATGGAATACTATGCGGCACTCGGAGCAAAAACTTCAAAAAATCTACGTAATTTGGGAGTCTGGAGAGTGAACTAACACAGTCTCATAAGGACATATACCACATAAGATCATTATTGTAAAAATAGAAGGATAACTAGTAAACCATCTATGGGAACTCAAGGGGGACATGAAGGAGGAAGGATAGAGGTGAAACTACAGTTTGCATCATTTGGTAGGTGGAGGGGGGCAAATGGGAAAGATCCAGGTGAAATGACAGAGTAATAATGGGCAAAAGTCCAATGGTGATTAATTTTGTAAAACACAATGCATTAGAATGATTGTATGAAACACATTGTGAATGAAGAATAATGTGAAGCACAATGTATATGAACTTTATAAGCAAACCAATAAAAAAATAAAATGGGAAGAAAAGTAGCTATTTTTAACCAAAATGTTTGGTTTAAGAGTATCTTATATAGATTTTTTTATATATATAATTTTGTTGTTAAAATTACCAAACTTTACTGTAAGTTACATGATAAGATCACTTTTACCTTCTTCAGTCATGTACTTGATCAGTTCTTCCTTGGTGAGAAATCCACGTTTATTTGAATCTAATACCTAGAAGAGATAAGGAGGTGTGTATAATTTTTGTTTGATGGACAAAGTCTCCATTATCAATTTTTGGTAAAAATATACATCAATACATACAAACTGGGGTTCACATACCTCAAAAGCACGAAGAAGGACATCTTCTGGAATGGGTCTGTATCTGTAATTATGCAATAAAAGAAATATCATGGTCTCTACCTTCAGTCTTTACATAATAGATTACATAAAACAAAGTTGCTAACAGGAAATACTTCTTGTGAAATAGTTCAAAATCACTAGCATCTGTGATGTTATTTGGTAGCTTATTTCATTATTATGGAAATAAATTGATCTGTGAATAAAATCTCTTCTGTGTTTCTTCTCTTTGTTTCTTCTGTGAAACAATTATGCTGATGCTGTATTTTGCTATAAAGATAATCAAGATCAATTCTTATCATTGGTAATGTAAAATAAGAAAATAAAAAAATTATTCATGATTGTATAACTTATTTGCCTTTTAATTATGTCTTTTTATCAGTTACTTTTTATTGTGGAAGTTTGTAAAGCAAATTTATTTCCATTCAACCATTTATTTATACACATTTTGCTTTAGAAGAGAAATTACAATGGGCAACATATAACCAAATTCTCCCTAGTTCCTCCCTGTAATTCTCGCTTCCATCGATCCTCCTATGCTATTCCTCCTTGCCTTGTGGTACTTACCTTTGTGTCCTCTGTGGTTGGTTTTTCTATATAATACGTCCTTCTGCGGTGTTCTAGATCACCATACAGGCCTGTCTACTGTTCAGTTGAAAAGTGAGTCATGTGGGTGAGCTTTGTGTTTAGTTCAAAGGGTGGCCTCAGGGGTTTACAGTCCCTACTGGAGCTATGAGCCAGTCCATTTTTGGTTTTTAATTTTGTTCCACATTTCCCCTAACTTTACCCAGCATCTTCCTCTGTGGTCAGCAGTGGTAGCTCGGGCTTGTGGAAGCCGAGGCCCGTGTGGCCCGTTCTTCCTCTACTGCTTGGGGGTTTTTGTTGTTTCTTCAATGGATCCTGTCCTTTGGTTATTTTTTTTTTTTAATTCCTTCTCCAAACCACTGTTTATTCATGTATTGCTTAATTTCTCTATTTTTTAAAAAATATTTTATTACATTGTTTTTTTTCTTTTATATGACTCTGATTTATTTACAAAGTTTGAATATATTGTTGATGTGTCTTTGTTTTCTTCTTTGTTCTGGACAGAGAGACCAATAGTTGTACCTTAGATGGCTGCTAGCATGCCTGTAAGAGCCCAGTCACTACTCACCAGAGTAGGATGTAGAACACTGCCTTGTGGACTATGCTATGCCAACTGACCCCGATGTCCCCCAAGACTTGATGCCCCAAAGCCCCTTCCCTCAGAGTGTTTCTTTATGATTAAGAAGCTCACATAGCTTAACTTTCCCTGGTTGCCTTTGCTATAGTTACCATATATGCTAATACAAGCAGAGAAAGATACAGTTACCATATATGCTAATACAAGCTAATAAATCTTATGCTTGTGGCTGTAAGACTTTTCACTTGCCCATATCTGCCTATATATCTCCTTGTACTTTCATGTTTATCCTTTTTTGTGCTGACCATCCAGTTATTGTATACAGTCTCTCCTCTCCCTTGATCATCTTCATCTACTAGCTAATTTCTCCTCTCTTCTTACCCTGGCATTCAAGAATAATTCTTTCTACATGTAAATTCTTCTTTGGCTTTTTTAACAGTGAATTCATGTAATATTTGGCCTTTCTGACTTATTTCACTCAGCATGCTGTCCTCTAAATGCATGCATGTTATCCAGTATTTCATGAATTCTTCATTATTCAGAGTTGCATCGGATTCCGTAGTGACTTTATCCACTGGGCCCTTAGGTTGTTTCCATCTCTTTGCTGTTGTAATAATGCTGTGTAGTGGTCATGGGTGTGCAGATATTTGTGTTGCAGGTCTTATTTCAGCCAGATGTGTATCTAGTAGTGGAATCACTGGATCTAAAAGCATTTTGATTCCCAACTTTTTAAAGAAGCACCAAACTGTTTTCCATAGCAGCTACACCATTCTGCAGTCCAATCAGCAAATACACAGAATTTCCAGTCTCTTGTAAGTATGACATACTAGATCTTGGAATGTATTATAGTTCCAGTCTCTTCACACCCTGACCAGCATTTTATGCTTACTATTGAACTGAACTTTGCTATTGTTCCCACAGTGAGATCATCTCTTTGGTGTTTTGATTTCTACCTCTCTAATAGCTAATATTCCAATTATAAATACAACAAAAATCTTCACAACTGTACCAATAGGCAGCATCATGATAGATGGGGAAAAAAATCAGCACTCATTGTAGCAGCAGTCAAGAAATTTAAAAAAAAAAGTGTTACATAGAGAAAATTTGCTGTCAGGGACCTCTTTTAAGTACCAAACAGCAAGAATGTCAGTTTAAAGACCACTGTATCCTTGATTACAACCATAGTATTTTCAACTGGATTGTATACATCTGAAAGCCACACAAAGAACAAGGAAGACCTAAGAATTGGTTCTTTTGAATTGCAGTGTTGTTATGTGTCATCAAGTTGCTTGTACATAGTGACCCTAGCACAACAGCTCTGAAGCTTGCCCTGTCCTGAGCCAGACTCACTGACTCTGACACATCTACCCCTTATAACTCCACTTACTGTGTCAGTCCATCTTATCCAGAGTCTTCCTCTCCTGTGCTGTCCCTCCATCCTTCCAAGCTTAAAGTCCTTCTTCAAGGACTGCCTCTTTTTGGCAACATGCCCAAAGTATGTCAGACAGAGCTTAAAACAACTGAAAAAAAAAACCCACCAAAAAGATTTTTGCCTCTATGGAGAAACTTGATTTTGACCTCTCCAGTACAGACATGCTTGTTCTCTTGGCAATCCATGGTATGTTCTCTAGCACCACAACTCAAAAGCATCGATTCTTTTTCTGTCATCCTTAATCATTGTCAAGCTCTCTGATGCATAGCAAGTAATTGTGAAGACCATGGCCTGGATCAGACATGTCTTAATAGACTTGATTTGTGTTACTGGCTAAGAATATTGAACAGGTCGTGGACTGTCAAAAGAACAATTAAATCTTGTCTTGGAGGAAGTATAACCAAGTGCTCTTGGTTGATGAAAATTAAAGTTCATTAATTTTCTTGAAAATTAGGCTTTCATTTACTTCACAAACTCCGGGCATGGTGTCAGGAGGCACCAGTTCTTGGAGAGGGACAGTGTGCCTGAAACAACAGAGGGTCAATCAAAGTGAGGAAGATCCTCAACGAGATGGACTGAGAGTTACTGTAACGGTGAGCCTGAAACTGTGAAAACCGTGAGAATGACAAATCCATTCAAGTCTGATTTATGTGATTAGGAGTGGAGGACTTACAGCCATGCCCTGGTTGTTGTGTATTGTCAAGTCGGAGCCGACTCATAGCTGATCCTCCAGCAGTTTTCTGAGGCAGGAACTCATCCAGGAGAAGGGCCATCTTTCTCCTGTAGAGAAGCTGATGGATCCCACGTTTGGGTTGTCAATTCTCACAGTTTACCACCAGGCCACCAGAGCTCCCTTAATCAAGCCTTTAATCTTTTCTTGAGCCTTTAATCCATATATAAGGTCCTTTCTTGTCTTTTATGCCACTTTTATCTGGAAGTGTATTTTTTTAAATTTTTTATATTTTTTTTATTTCAGTGAACATCTACAGAGATTTTGGAAGTGTGTTTTATCAGAAATATTACCATTCTTGCTTTCTTAATTGCCATTTGCAGTGTGTGTGTATAGATGGAGGATAGAGATAGAGGCATATGTATATGTTTATGTATAACGTATATCTCTTGTGGACAGCATACTATGTTTTCCTCTGTTCTCTTCAGTGGTGTGTTGATTCCATTCACATTGAGTGCTGTTCTTCACAGACACAGCTTTATTGCCATTTTGCTGCATCTTTTTTTTTTATGCTGGTTTCTTTGTTCCATGTACTCTTCTGTGCTAAGTTCATATTGCTCATGACTTTTCTTACCATTTTCTTCTTTGCTGTTGTTTAAGTGTTTACTAAGTGCTTATGATTTTCTCTTTTTATTTTTTGTGTTTGTTACTGTTGTTGTACCATCAAGTTGGAACTGACCCATTGCTGACCCTCCAGTGCGTTTTCAGAGACAATTAATCACAAAGGAAGAGATCGCCCCCCCTCCTGTGGAGCAGTTAGTGGATTCGAACCACGTGCATTCAGGATTGCAGCCCAGATTCTAACTACTAGACCATCAGAGATCCCCCTCCCCCCTTCTTAAATTAGGTTTATTCATTTTCTTGGATGTTATTCTGTAATTTACTATTTTATTCTTAAATTCAACACAATTCACTTTATTTTTAAATTTACTCGACTTCTCTGCTAGAAAACTTTGTTAATTACACCTCTTTTTGCTTTGTTGTTTGCTCATTTGCAGACCGATGCCTCTGGTTCCCTGTTTTCAGTTTTGCAAGTTTAGTTTCATTTATGTTTTTCTATGTCTGGGTCAATTTGTAAATGATGTTGCCATGTGCATTTGTTCCAGGCTGTTGTCTGTCACTGTTGGCTCTCTGTGTAAAGAATTCCTGATTTCTTAGAAGGTTGAAATTGCCTTAATTTTTTTTTTAATCTGGGAATGTCCTAATTTCACTGACATCTATGAATAACAATTTTGCAGGTATAAAATTCTTGGTGGGCAAGTTTTTCTTCCAGAGTTTTATATATGCCATCCCATTGCCTTCTTGCCTGCATGGCCCGCTGATAAACAGCTGCTTAGTCTTACTGGTTCTCCTTTGTTATCCATTGTTCCCCAGCGGCTTTCAGTATTCTTTGTCTTTGATTTTGGAAAGCGTATTATGAAATGTCTTGGTGTTTTTCTTTTGCAATCTATCTTGTCTGGGCTTCATTGAGTTTTTGAAAGTGCATATTCTCATTTTTCATGCCCCCTGGTAAGTTGAAAGCATGTCTTCTCATTTTTCATGATATTTGGCAAGTTTTCTCTCAGAAAATCTTCAACAATTTTCTCTCTGCTCTTTGTCTCTTCATGTTCTGGGGTTGCAACCACATGTAAATCAGTCTTCTTGTCAGTGTTGAATAGAATTCTTATGATTTCTTCATGTTCCCTATTTGATTGTTCCTTTAACAGATTAATACTGAAGAATTTGCTTCATCTTATAATTCTATGTCTAACTGAATCAGTTCTTCGCTTTTGTCCTTCAAATGTGTTATCTATTTCTGAAATTTTAGACCTAATGTCTTGAAACTTAATTTGCTGTTTTTATATGGTTTCTAATTCTCTATTTTTTTTTTTTTGTTTGGTCAATTTGTTTTTGTACTGTGGGGCGGGTGGTTGTTTGGTTTTTTTCTCATTCTTCCAGAGTTTGTGTATATGTTCTGTACCTTCCAAGCATTCCTTCAAAGGCACTTCCCTGTCTTTCTTCTGAACTTTTTATCAAGATGTTCCAATAATATTTCTTACTCTGAAAGGTTTTCTTATTTTCTTATGATCACTTGTTTGTGACATCTTGTCCTGGGGTGTGGGTGATCTGAAGTCACCTGTTGCCCTGAGACATTGTGGTAGTGGTATGGTAGTATTTTGTTTTGATAGGTGTGATTGAGCAGTGAAAGTGTACCATGCAGTTCTCTAGTTTGACAACGTTAAGTCTTTGACTTCTTTCCTTCTGGCAAGTCTGACAAGAGGATGGAGCGGTATGTGAAGTTCTTTGTTCACTGTTTATGTACAACAGCTGTGTTGGTCTTGGTTGTAGTCTGTCACCAACCAGGTAGTATAGGAGCTATTCCGTGCTCTCTTCTCAAGGGGTGAAAAACTGTGTGTGAGTGTGTGTGTGCGCACGCTGTGTAGACACTGTTGCTGTCTGTTGCTAGACAGGGGGGAAAAAACCCAAAGAGTGGGCAATTCAAACAAGAAAGGAAGAAAAGGAAAACCAAAACTGGTATGGGTACAAAACGAAGGAGAAACTGAACAGGGTTGGGAAGAAATAGGCAAAGGAAAAGTAGAAGAAGAAGAAGAAATGAAAGAACCTTGCTTGTGGAGTGAGCTTGGCAATTGACTGGCACTCCTGCCATTGCTATCATGCTGGACACAAGACATCTGATCTGGGGACAGTCCAGCAGAAGGTGCAGGTTGGATGGCCTCATCAGGACAGAGTGTCTGCTCATCAGGGAGGTGGACAGGGCATTATGGAAAGCCTGGCATGTGGCACTGTCCACAGATGGCGCTGCTGTTGGCCTAGGTCATGCTGAGAGACAGGGACGTCAGCAGAGATGACGTTTCTGCCAGCTTCAGAGGTGCCGAGGGCAGTCTGCCTGGCCAGGCATGGTGTCTCTATCATTCCAAGGGACAGGTGCAAGCATGGCATGCAGTCAGAGACGCGCACTCTGCTGGTATGACGAGGTAGACAGCTCAGGGAGTGAAGTGTGCCTGGAGCCTGATGCACACAGTGCCAGACTAGGCGGTACACTGTCCTTGGGCAGCAGCTGAGGGGGCACACCACTTCAAATCTAGGAGGAGGAGTGTGTGCACCTCCCCTTCTGGGGACAACTTGCACCTGACATTGGGGCAAAATGCACCTGGGGACATCCAGCCAAACACAGTCATTGCCAACTCAAAAGTGGCCAAAGATGGCCTACTCCACTGGACCCAAAAGGCAGAGTACACAGGAGTATATTCACAGCTCCACATGTGAACATGGTGTGTGCCAGGCATGACATCCCCTGGCGCATCTAGTTTCTACAGCTCGAGAGGTAGCAAGTGTGTCTCTGAATGCGGAGCTGCACGTGCAGTCAGCACTAGATGCACAATGGCCAAGAGGACCTCAGGAAGAGCACAGATGGAGCCGAGGGAGCACTGCTAGCCATTGGAGGGTGGTCTCAGGGTGTAAGTCATTCTCCTGAGCCTCAGAGGAAAATATATGAAGCACGGGGAAGACTGCACCTTTCTCGTCACCAGTCAGCTGCTGGTGTGGATGTTGTTGCTATTCTGGGTTCCTGGGCCAGTGTGAAAACAGCAAAAGTTTTACATGGCTGTGCTGTGTCCAGTCTGCTCACAATTCACCACTCCATCTATCTCATCATTTAATTTAATGTCTTCATTTTGCTGCTTCCTTCAGTTAGTGTTTGAACCACTTCATTATTACCTTGGAAACGAAGGGTTTCAGGATTATAATCTGACTCTGTTACCTTTATTTAGATTCATTATAAAGTGCTTGATATTTACAATCACATACTTACTGGAAGTTCAAGAGTAAAGTAAAAGGTTAGAAGGAAATGACTTTAAGATAATACTAGTTGAACACAAAAAGGGAAAATGCCAAGTGTTTTGAAATTAACGTAATTCTTATCATTATTTTGCATAGATAATTATATCTATTCACGTACCTTTTTTCCAGCAGCACGCTAGTCATCACTGGAAGGAATTTTTCAAAGCGAATGTATCCAGTGGGTTCTTCTTCTTCTACCTAAACAATCAATAGATGTATTGAGCATCAATGTTTTCCCAGCAATAAGTCAAGTCCAGGATTTTATAATGAACACATGTGGGCATAAGCCCTGCTCACAGTTTATATCCTGAGAGGGAAGATGTACTCCTATTGCTGTTGTTAGCTGCCATTGAGTCAGAACTGACTCACGGCTGACCCTCTGGTGGGTTTTCAGTGTCTGTACCTCCCACGAGAGGAGACTGCCCCTCCTTCTCCCACAGGAGAGCTAGTGAAGCAGAAACGCCTGCCTTTAGGTTACCACTAAGCTACCAGAGCTCCCTTGCTAATACTAGTTGTTGTGTTGTTGTTAGGTGCCATCGAGTCACCTGCAACTCATAGTGACCCTATGTACAACAGTCCTAAAACCTGCTCTGTCCTGTGCCAATCTCACTGTCTCCAACACACCTACCACCATTACCCCAGTCACTTCCTCTCCTGCACGTCCCTCCACCCTCCAAAGCATGATGTCCCTCTCGAAGGACTGGTCCTTCCTTGCAACTTCCCAAAGTATGTCAGATGAAGCCTCAAAATCCTTGCGTCCAAGGAGCAGCCTGGTTTCACCCTCTCCAGGACGAACCTGTTTGTTTTCCTGGCAGTCCATGGTATATTCATTACCCTTCTCCAACACCACAGCTCAAAGGCATCAATTCTCCTTCTATCATCCTCTCTGATGCATAGTAAGTGATTGCAAAGACTATGGCCTGTATCAGGCACACCTTTGCTCTTCAGTACTTTGGAGAGGTCTCGGACAGCACACTTTCCCAGTGCAATTTATCTTTTCATTTCCTGGCTGCTGGTGCCAAGATATTACTTCTTCTTCTTGTTGTTGTTGTTATGTGCCATTGAGTCACCTGCGACTCATAGCGACCCTATGTACAGGAGCTCTATATGCTCTTCTATCCTGTGCCAACCTAGCCATCTCAAACGCACTTATTCCCACCTCTCCCGTCACTGAATCGATCCATCTCATCAAAGGTCTTCCTCTCCTTCGCCGGCCCTCCACTCTGCCAAACATGATGTCCCTCTCCAAGGACCAGCCCCTCCTTGCAACATGCCCAAAATATGTCAGATGAAGCTTCAGAATCCTTGACTCCAGGGAACACTCTGGCTTCACCCTCTCCAGGGCAAACCTGTTTGTTCTCCTAGCAGTCCATGGTATATTCAACACTCGTCTCCAGCACCACAGCTCCAAAGCAGTAATTATAATAATAAAAACACAATTGAATGTCTAATTACAATTTCCCACCACTCGTCTGTCAGTGTGTTGCGTTAGAGAGGCCTGCGTGATACTGGAAGCCATTCCAACAGATTTTTAAGTACAAGCAGGGTCACCCATGATGGGAAGAGCTTCTTCTAGAAGAACCTGGCAACCTACTTGTGGAAAAAAAATAAGAAAGGGCAGTGAAATGCATGAATAGCAGCGAATGAAGACAAGCCACTCAGATTGGAGATACTCAACATGCAACAAGGGAAGAGCTGCCTCCGCAAAGTAGATCCGTTTTTGGTGATGTGAGAAAGCTTTCGGATCTTCACTTGATGATGTGGCAGGATTTAAAATAAGAAGAAACAGGGGCAAACATTCACTAACAATCAGAATGTGAGAAGTAGAAGTAGGAAACGAATAAAATCTATGAAAGTTATAAAAATGAAATGGAATAACTTAAGATCAATGTGCTAATCCGAACTGAGCTGAAACGGACTACTTACTATTAGCTATTCTGAATTGGATATGCACAGGGTCTACTAGGCTAAAAAGACAAATTGAAGAGGAATGACATTAGACTCATATTAATATGGGGGGAACCCCCAACATTTAAAGACGTATCCTGACATACAGTGCCAGAGAATGAGCATATCTGCTTCGAAAGAAGTACAGCCAGAGTGCTCCTTGCCAATGGGGACAGCAAGACTTTGGACATTCTCAGAAAAGGCCATTTGCTAGAGAAGCATACCTTGCTTGGTAAATGAGAACTACTTTTTTTTATGTTTTTACTACATTCATACCATTCAAATCCTGGTGACCTCAGATTTCAGGATGGCAGAATGATGTGTGTTGGAATTTCTAAGCTCAGTGATACATGACAAATTATCCCCAGGTGTCTCCTGATTCTATCTGAGTATTCTGCACATTAATGTCCATGTGGGGAGCTGAGTAGCAGTACTCTGGAACTACTGACCCCAGGGAGCCCCTGAAAAATAAAATTCAGTCTCAGGAGATTACTACAGGAAAAATAACTTTAAAAAAAAAATTTTGTCCCCTAAATTTGTTCCAGAAGCTGGAGCAATGGTTTGCATGCCTGTTTCCCTGACCCCAGCAAAGAGTTCCAACCTTTAAAACATCCAAACCCTTCTTTATTTTATGAGCACCTTTGCAATCACAAGCTGTTTTCGTTTTTCCGAAGGAGGTTCCGCTCTCTGCTTCCCTTCCATCGTGTCAGCACTGACTAGTGACATCTCGCATAGCGACTCACGGTGCTCCTCTGCACAGCCCTACAGTTCCCACGGGCACTTGTGAAAACAGCAGCATCATTCTCTCTCAAAAGGCCTTCACAGAGCCAAAACAATACAAAATCGTTCTAAGCAGATTATCTCCAATTCATCACATTGGCAAAAGCAACACACATTTTCTCTGACTTTAAAAAAAAAAATTTGGATAATGAATAAAACTTTGAACTCACAGACCTCAAGTCAGAACTGACTCAAAGAAGAGCCTCCAGCACGTTTGAAAGTCAACTGCAGAGCGGAGACTGCCCGTCTTTCTCAAAAGAAGTCATTCGTGGATTAGAACTCCCAAGGGTAAGGCCAGCGGGGGCAATTCCCTATGAAATACACCGCCAGCGCCCCCCAGTGAATAAACAGAGGCCTAATTTTTAAAAAGTCAAATGGGGAGTGGTAAGATTATCTGTAATTGGAGTAGAAACTGTAAAATCTTTCTGTGACCCAACACTGTCCTCTAGAGGCCACATCAGATCCATTCTTTCATAAAGATTGACAAGCAACAGTTTAAAAACAATATGATTACAAGATAATGCTAAGGACAACATTTACGCGAGGTTTAATATGAACTAGGTACAATTTTCTATACTAAGATGTTTTGTATATTTAAATTAACTTTTTCTCTTTAATCATTTTAGGTGAGATGGTACAGATGGTGGCTGTCCACCCTGCCCACCCAGTTCCCTATTGTCCACTCTTACATTACGATGGCACACTTAGTTCAACTAATGAACCAGTGCTGGTGTATTACTAACTAAATTCCACACTGTATTCCGATTTCACTTGGTATTTTAAAAATATGGTCTACTGAGAATATGAGGAGAGAAACAAGAAGAGTCACATTGAATGGAAATTCAAGTTTTCTGTAAACTTTGCTTAAAATATTAATTTTTTTTTAAATGAGAAAATTCCCTCCTCTTCCCTTCCCTAGGAAGACATCTAATACATTTTTTTTCATAGACTTCTAAAAAAAATAAGACATACAAAACCACAGATAAAGGGAGAAGGTTCTATTATTTCTTCTGGTCTCAAACAAGTCCTTTAACTTTATGAAGATATTAGTAAGAGAGGACAAGAACACTACTTTCTAGAAATGTTATGAAATAATGACTGGATGATTATATAAACCTAGATTTAAAAGATACCAAATACTGAACCATAACCTATACTGTGTATGTATATATTGGCATACTTTAGAGATACTTTGGGATTGGTTCCAGATCAGTACAGTAAAGTGAATACTGAAATTGAGCAAGCCAGCAAACTGTTTGGCTTTCCAGTGCAGACGAGGGTATCTTAAACTCCACTGTCATCTGTTATGTGTGCAACAGCATTACAAAAAAGCTTCAAGTATTGTCAGAATTATCAAATATGACACAGAAAAAAAATTAAAAAATATGACACAGAGACGTGAACACATGTAGTAAAGCTTTTATATATATAAAGTATTAATATTCTAAAAGTGTGAAGTATATTTATACTCAAAGACTGAATCACTATCAAGTAGAAGTCCTCATAACTTATTGAAGATGAGCAAAACAGAGATTTAAAATCTGGAACCATATATTACAGAACACATATATAGAAAATGGTATAGCTCAAACCAATTTTCTCCAAGAGAAATGTTAACTTAAAATTAATTCAAGAAAGACTCCCTAAATCACAGCAGACATATTCATAAAGACTAGAAGTCTATTGCCATCTCTTCACTTAGAAAAAAGTCTTAATAGGAAAAATCCCCTTGGCTTTTGCATTGATTGTTGCTGCTATTGTCAGGTAATGTGAGGTCTACCAGGTCTATGATGACTCACTGCAACCCCATAAACAACAAATCTCAGAAGCTACTGAGAGAGGGAAATTGTCTGCCTTGTAGTAGAATAAAACAGTACAGTCCCTATGTCAGACTAAGGGGAGTTTCAAAGCAGAGTTTGGTGGACAGAGCAGGGGATGAAGGAATGAGGAAAGGTCCGGTGAGGATCCGAAAAGGTAGAGTAATGGAGAATGGAGGGAATTCCTCCTCTAACCTCAGTTTTCTCATTGTAATTCAGGAAGAATAGTAATATTTAACTCACAGAGTTGTGATGATTATGTCAAAGGTGTTTTGTGAACATAAGACTCTGGTTATTATTATTATTCGCTCTATCAATAGTGTAAGGAGCTCTGGTGGCTTAGTTGGTAAGGAGTTGTATTGCCAACCCAAAGGCACGTGGTTCCAATCCACCAGCTGCTCCACAGGAGAAAGATGAGCAATCTCTTCTCATGTGGTTTACTGCTCAAAAACCCACTAGTCAGCTGGGTCAATTCCAAATTGATGGCACAAAACCACAACATCAGTAGGTACACATTACTGCTTCTATGCTATGGAAAGGCAGCTTCTAAAAAAAAATTTTTATCTTTGCTGTTGGGATTTCAGAAGTATGCTCTGGCCCACTTCATACTGCCATTTTTTAAATAGAAATTTGACCCTGCCTTCTCAGCCATAAAATGCCACATGAAATGTGTGGTTAAATGAGATAAAGCATTAAATTGCCTCTATGACATACCTTTTCCCTCCCCCAGATTCCTGCCTAGAGGAGAGGGTACATTATTAGCAGTGCTGCCTCTGCCTCTACTGTTCCTAACAAGCCTCTCTAAGTGGACAGGACAGGGACAGTATCCTTCTTCTTCAAAACAAACATAGTTATAACCTAGTTTCTTCTAAGAGGGGGGCTAGAGTGCTGGAAAGGAAATGATGATTCAAAGCAGCCTAGACAGTGTTTATGAACATAAGGGAGCTCTCGTGGCTTAGAGGTAAGCATTCCACTGCCAACCCAAAGGCTGTTGATCCCTTCTAGTCAAGCACAACTCATAGTGACCCCATGAACAAAAAGCCTAAAGGCCCTCTACAACTATCACCATTTATCAGAGTTCATAGAGTTTCCAGAGGCATGTTGTTTAGGAAGCGGATGACACTCCCGCTTCCAAACCTGTCATGGTCTGTTATAGTTATGTGCCATTGAGTCACCTGCGATGTACAGCAGCTCTGAACCCTTCCCTGTCCTGAGACAGTCTCACTAATTCCAACACACTAACTAATCTCCATTGCCCCAGTTATTGTATCAATCCATCTTATTGGGGTCCTCCTCTCCCGTGCTGTCCGTCCACCCTTCGAGCATGATGTCCTTCTCCAAGGTCTGGTCCTTCCTGGCCACATGCCCAAAGTAAGTGAGGCAGAGCTTCAAAATCCTAGCCTCCAAGGAGACTTGGTTTCACCCTCTCTAAGACAGGCCTATGGTATGTTCAAGACCCTTCTCCAGCACCACAACTCAAAGGCATCTATTACTCTGTTATCCTTAGTCATCATCCAGCTCTCTGAAGCAATAACAAGTAACTGAGAAGGCCATGGCCTGGATCAGATGCACTTAGTCTGTAGATTGTCATCACTGCTTTTCAGCACTCTGGAGAGGTCTATGACAATAGATTTTCCCAACACAATTCGTCTTTTGATTTTCAGACTGCTGGTGTTAAGAGAGTAGATTGTGGATTCAAGCAAGCTGTAATTGCTAACAACCTCAATCTCTTCTCCATCTATTATGGTGTTGCCCAAAGGTACATGGTTCAAATCCAGTAGCTGCTCCATGGGAGAAAAATGGACAATCTCCTCTTGTGTAATTAACTGACTCTGAAAACCCACTGAAGAGTCAACCATGAGTTGTTTCCAGCTCTGCAGCATACAATAACGACAATAGGGACATAAAAATAAAGTCTTTTGGGGGAAAGCTTCTCCCAGGTTGGCCCTGCTGTTTACCTTGAAGTCATCTTAACAGTGGATGGTCTACCTGATGTGCCTTGCTTTTCCTCCTTAGAATATATGGTTGTTTATGTGACCTGGTGGTTCACTGGTTTGAAACCACCTACCTCTCCAGAGTAATGTAAGAGTGGACAATAGGGAACTGGGTGGACAGGGTGGACAGCCACCATCTGTACCATCTCACCTAAAATGATTAAAGAGAAAAAGTTAATTTAAATATACAAAACATCTTAGTATAGAAAATTGTACCTAGTTCATATTAAACCTCGCGTAAATGTTGTCCTTAGCATTATCTTGTAATCATATTGTTTTTAAACTGTTGCTTGTCAATGCATTACTCTCCAGTATGCTTGCCCCAAGATTACTCATCCTTGGAAATCCTAGGGAGCAGTTCCACTCTGTCCTAGAAGTTCACTCACTTCTTGGAAGCTTTAAATTGAACTTGATTGCAATGGGTAGTTTTGTTTAATGTGACCTGAAGAAAATACATCACCTTCAGTGCCGCATGCAGGAGCCCAACCTAGGCGCTAACATGGCTCCTTCAGGCATCCCACACACTGACTCGTCCTGCCCACTACAGAGAATGCTCGAAAAATATGTAAATGCCGTAGGATTTTCTAAAACTCAGCATTTTACTAAAGTTGAGAGTATCAGTAGATATTGTTTCTCATTCTGCCTTGGTATTAAGTCAATTTCTTTTCTTTTACACCTGAGGGAATTCGCACACAAAGAGGTGAAGTGCCTGTTTCAGCTCCTCAAAGTTAGTCAGGTGTTTTGATGGGTCACGGTCTAAAGTTCTTTAGGCTCATTCCCATAATGGAATTGTTAGGCCCTCTCTTTTCTCGTTCCAGCATCACTTATTTGAATGCTGAGCCCACTGAATAGGCACAATAAAGCACACAGCGAGAAGTCATTTCTCACCAGTGACAGAGCAGTCAATAAATTGAACTATTTCATGCTTCACAAAAATCAAGATCCTATCAGCAATTAAGATGGTTTATAAATGCTACATTTCACATTTCAATTAGTTCCAGGTCACGAAATAAGATGTACATAAGAAGCTTTTCAAAACTATCTGTAGTAAAACTTGGAAAAAACCTATAAGATATTTCAAGTTAGATTCCACATATTGCTTATGCAGATTTTGACAAAAATATATTTCAGAACCAAAATATAAATATAATTTAGAATAACAAAATTCATCAGCATTACCAAAAATACTACTTTTTCAAATGAAAAATTTTTAAACCATCTACTCTGGGGAAATTATTTAAAGATTACAGAGGTCATAGTGCAAAAGTTGAAAAATCCTTTCTTATAAATAGGTCTGTCAAATCTAGATTGGATCATCTCTTAAAATGAGATGAATTAGAAATTAAAAAATTAACATGTAGCTAAACCAAGTAATTGGTAAGGTCCTTTTTCAACTCTGAGTTTCTGTAATTTTTTTTAAAAGTTGATTAAATTTTAATTTTCACAAGTTTATTTTATCAAGAGATAACAGAAGATTATTCAAAATAGGTAGAAACATAATAGTAGTGCTTCATTTTTTTTAACTGCTGGTAAGGCTTATTATGAAAATCTGATGAAGAATTGCAGGCTGCAATGCAAAAGTTCTTTTCTCAGCCACCATGGGATATGATGTCACTATGAGTCTGGGAGAGCCTGGCTGTGGGTACCACTTCTTGTCTTCAACTGTGATTGTGCGATATCAGCAAGTGCACTTTGTATCTTTTCCAGAAGCATATCCCCTCGATAAACAACATCTTCCAGACATGTAGCAGCTTCATGGTTTTCTTCTAGCTTATACAAACTGGCAGCCTGTAGAGCAGCTGTAGACTCTTCACTGGGTAAGGAATCTATCAAAACATCTATGTCTTTTGCTGTTCGTGCAATAAGTGCTGCAAAAAGCTGTGCATATACTTCTGTAGGATTAGCTGGTTGATCTTTGTTGATTGTCATCTGAATATTACTAAAAGAGGAAGGTGGACCACATTGCTGCAACACTCCAATGGCATTACAAAACTGATCTGCAAGCGAGTTGACAGCGTCTTGGAGCTGCGTGAGGCGATCCGCCATCGAGTTTCTGTAATTTGAAGTGATGTGGTTAATAGGCCATGATTTTCCCAGTTTATCCTCTGAAGTTGGGACAGCTATACTCAAAGTGCTTCATCCTTTTCTGGGCATTTCTCTCTATCCTGCTTTGAGAGACCCTTCTCCACTTGGTAGTTTATGCAAGGGGTAAAGCAACTGTCCCCACCAAGGGACTCTTCTACCCTAGATAGTCTCCTTCTCAAAATCGTACTGCAATAAAATTCAAAGAAAAACTTCATCCTGGGTTAATATTTTGCTTAAACAAAGGAAAAGTATTTTACAAATAAATATCTGGAGATGTTTTGTCATTGTTGTTGTGTACCATAGATTCTGAACCAGCCAATAGCTGACCTTCCAGTGGGTTTTTGGAGACAGTTCATCACACAGGAGGAGACTGTCCCTCCTTTCTCAGTAGAGCAGCTGGTGGATTCGAACCATGTGCCTTCAGGTTGGCAGCACAACTCCTTACCACTAAGACAATATTCCTTAAAGGAAATGTACTCAAAGGCATAATTTAAATTACATAAAATATGGTTTTTTTTAAAAAAAATAACTTATAAAACATGTCAATTTTTAAATGTCACTATTTTTTATAAAGCAATTTTGTTTAAAGTCTCAACACACAACTTCAACATCTTTGTTATAACTAAACTTGTAAAATCATATATGCATGTAATTATTTCCCCCCCCCTTATTGCAGAGGTAACACGATTCTGTGCAGAAAAACTGAATAGTCGTTAGGAAAAGACATCATCCTGTTATCCCATCATCTAAAGATCATGCTGGAGTAGTTTTTGTTATTGTTGTGGGGTGTTTTGCATTTATTTACATATATATATCTATATATGGCTGTGGATACTGTAAATGGATAAGCATTTAACTACCAACAAAAAGGTGGATGGTTATATGTACACCTATGTTCATCACAGCATTATTCACAATAGCAAGAAAATGGAAACAACCCAGCTGCCTTTAGTCAATGATTGGATAGAGGAACTGTGGACATTCACACAAAGGGATACAACGCAGCATTAAAGAACAACAAGAAAAGAGGGGTTAAATAATGAACACTGCATTGGAACAGATGAAGGAAACAATCGTTTAAAGGAAAATATGAAAACAGTCCGGAACAAGAGGTGCACAGCAAAGTGGACTGAGAGAGGATTGAAGGGAGGGGCTCAGGAGGGGAGAGGGAGGAAATGACACAAAAATAAATGAAATTTTTTTTGCAATTTTTTTTTATTTTAATGAAAGTCCACAGACTTTGGATTTCCAGTCATTCTCTGCTGCACAATTTCCTAGCTGCCCACTCCTCCCTCCCAGTTCACTTTTCTCTTTGAAAAGTGAAAAAAAAAATCTTTCATTGTTAATACAATCCCCTCCAGTCCACTCCAGCTTTCATTCTAGACTCCTGTCATGACAATAATACCTAATCATACATTCTTCCTAAACAGTTTTCTCCCTCATCTGTTTCAATGCAGTATACATTATTTATCCCCGCTTAGTTTCCCTTCAACTCCGATATCAGACCCACTTTACAACAGTGGCACTATGCAGTATCTGTCCTTTTGTGACTGAGATATTTCACTCAGCATAATGTCCTCCAGGTCATCCATTTTCTATAAAATTTTATGAGTTCCTTGTTTTTCAATGCAGCATAGTATTCCATTGTGTGAATATACCACAGCTTCTCTATCCATTCGTTTGTTGATGGGCACTTGGGTTGTTTC